CTTAGACTCATCTTACCTGGCCATGTTCCTGTTTCTCTACTTGGCTTTTAGAACATGGCTGAGTCTCTCTCACCACTCATTATCCCAGGCTGTGCTTCCCAGCCCCACAGTCTGCACACCAGTGTTTTGTCCTATTTCAGTAACACCAGGCCTAAATTTAGTAATGCATATTCTAAAAGCCTGAGGTAAATTTGCAGCATCACTTACTGTCAGGGACAGTCACCCAAGCAGTAATAATTTACAAGGGCTTTGGGGAAAATGTCCACATTCTGCTCCAGATAGCAGCTCCGAGCCACCTGTAACTCTTCTATGTTAAACAAAAAGGCAAAACTTTGGTTTGTTACAGGTTGTTTCAAGCGTTGCTCACACAATTAGGCTACTGCATCAGACGATGCTTATACCACAAGGACAGCACTGTTTCAGACCTCTCTAAGCATCACTCTCCATCCTGGTGCTGAGCAACGGCAGTATCCATCAGGTACCAAAGAAAGCCGTTCTAGTCCAGATGTCCGCACACCTGTCTCTCCAGTCCCTCAGCCCCCAAAGCTCCTTCCCATCTTTGCCCTGCTGGCCCTGCAGGTTTCAGGTCTCCTCTCACTCAGAAGACCTTGCCCAGCAACCTAAAATAACACCTACCCTCCCCAGTCTTTCCTTCTACCTACTGCGGTTCAAAAGTCTGCTTATGATTTCCTTGTTTTTAATAGCTGAGTAGTATTCCATTGTGTAAATGTACCACAATTTCTGTACCCATTTCCTCCGTTGAAGGATATCTAGGTTGTTTCCAGCTTCTGGCTATTATGAATAGAGCTGCTATGAACATGGCAAATGTCCTTGTTGTATCCTTGAGCATACTTTGGATATATGCCTAGGAGTGGTACAGCTGGATCTTGAGGTAGCACTATTCCTAATTTTCTGAGGAAGCACCAGATTGATTTCCAAAGTGGTTGTACAAGTTTACATTCCCACCAGCAATGGAGGAAGGTTCCCCTTTCTCCACATCCTCTCCAGCATGTGTTGTAACTTGAGTTTTTGATCTTAGCCATTCTGATGGGTGTTAAGGTGAAATCTCAGGGTCGTTTTGATTTGCATCTCCATGATGGCTAAGAACATTTAACATTTCTTTAAGTGTTTCTCTGCCATTCGATATTCCTCATTGAGAATTCTCTGTTTAGCTCTGTACACCATTTTTTAAATTGGATTAATTGGTTTGTTGGTGTTTAACTTCTCAAGTTCTTCATATATTCTGGATATTAGCCCTCTGTCAGATAAAGGGTTGGTGAAGAACCTTTCTGGTGGGGACTAGAAAAGGTCATCTTGAGTGAGGTAACCCAGAAGCAGAAAAACACACAGTATATAACCACTTATAAGTGGATATTAGCCATATAATACAGGATAAACATACTAAAATCTATACTCCTAAAGAAGCTAAACAAGGAAGAGCCTAGGGAAGATGTTCAATCCTAATTCAGAAGGACAAATGTGATAGACATTGTAAGCAGAAGACAGGAAACAGGACAGGAACCTACTACAGAGGGCCTCTGAAAGACTCTACTGATCAAAGCATTGAAGCAAAGGCTGAGACTCATAGCCAAACTCTGGGCAGAAGGCATGGAATTTTATGAAAGAAGGGGGAGACAGAAAGACCTGGAAGGTATAAGAGCTCCAAAGGGAGATAGAGAGAGAGAGAGAGAGCGAGCGAGCGCCCTGGGAGCCCTGCAGAGACTGATACCCCAACCAAGGATAATACATGGAGAGGACCTAAAACCCCAGTTCAGATGTAGCTCAAAGACTGTCTCCAAGTGTGGTCCCTAGGAAGTGGAGCAGGGGCTTTCTCTGGCATGAACTCAGTGACAGGCTCTCTGACCACCTGTGGGAGTTACAGCCTTGCCAGGCCACAGTGAAAAACAATGCAACCTGTCCTGATGAGACCTGATTGGCTAGGGTCAAATAGAAGGGGAGGAGGACTTCCTCTATCAGTGGACTAGGGGCGGGGCATAGGGGGAGAAGAGGGAGGAAGGGTAGGATTGAGAGGAGATAAGGGAGGGGGCCATAGCTGGGATACAAATTGAATAAATTGTAATAAATGATAATAAGCCACTGAAACTGACAAATCCACAAAAGTACACACCAAGACAATTTGAAGAAATAACTCTATAGTTGGGAAATTCTATCTACAGCTCTATGTAGAAAGGTACTAAACAAAAACTGACATCACCTTCAGAATAGTGTATCACTATGACCAAAATGCCCACACAGAAAATGCAAAAGGACTAGTGAATTAAAAAATAAATAAATAAAAGTACTATAAAGGCTTTTCAAGGAGAAATCGACTTTTTTCTCCTGAGCTGGGATTCAACCCCAAGCCACAGAGCAAGCATTCTACCTGTGAGGACTACTTCCCAGCACCATCTACCTTTAAGATTCATCTTATTAAATTATATCTGCATGTGTCTGTGCACCTGAGTGCAGGTGCATGCAGAAGGCAGAAGCAGCGATCCTTGGAGCTGGAGTTCTAGGTTGCATGAGCCCCCATATGTGGGTGCTGGGAAGAACAGCAATACTATCTATTGGAGGCTAAATCACCTCTCCAAACCCATCTGCCTTTAACACTAGCAGCAGGGGTTCTGCTGGCAATTCCTTCCTGAGGGTCTGAAGCATCAGTGGTCACTGGACATCAGCAGCCTCGCTTGACTGGACAGTGAGGAACAAAGTGGGATGTTCTTAATGTCTTAACTGGACAGTAAGGAACAAAGCAGGCTTAATGTTCCACAGATACGGCCAAGTCACAAATTGCTAATGTGGCGATGAAGTAGGATGGGCAGCATCTGACTTTGGTGGCCAGGGTGGGGGGTGGGGTGGGATCCTGTGTTCAGTGGCCAGGCCTTTCAGCCTAAGTTACTACTTAGGCATGCTTGGGAAAGTTTGTCAACAGGTGCCCATGGAAGAGCTGATTCAGTTACTTGACCATGTAATTCTCATTTATCTTACACTGAGGAAGGAATTCTGCCCTTTTTCTCTCTACCTAGCATCTAGAATTAGGAGGCATTATTACAGCAAACGAACCAGCATGTGAAAGCTTTAAAGTACAATAGACCATACTTACAAACTGGAAGGTGTTTTCCAGGATATCCCAGAGTTCTTATAAAAGACCCAATAAGACTCAGGTAGCATTTTATCTGTGAAATACTGAGTTTAAAAACAAGACTGAATAATCTTCTCCAGCTGGGCATGTGAAACAATGGAAACCATGATCTCATACAAAATGGATGACTCTAATGCTTTCCTCTTCCGTTTCACAGAGAGGCAGAGTCAGCCATATAGTTTCCATATGTATATGAGACAAGGTTTTTGTAGCTCTGGCTGTCCTCAAGTCTGCTATGTGCACCAAGCTAGCCTCCACATCACAGAATCCCACCTGCCTCAGCCTCCTAGGCTGGAGGTTTAAAGGTGTGTACCACCACAAAGAACATAAATGGGTAATTTCAGATATTCTCAGTACTAGTGGACGAATCAAGCCATAATTTTTTGTTATATTTTATAATCCTGGGAGTTATTAGTTCTAGGACTTTAAATTTCTTTAAATGATTTTTTTAAACTTAATCCTGCAGAGAGCAATGCTATCCATATCAATCAGGAAGTGGTTTCCTGCTGGCACTCACCCTCTGAAGTCATACCTTTTTTTTTTTTTTTTTTTTTTTTTTTGGTTTTGTTTAGAGCATTTGGAAATAGAAAACGACCCCAGGAAATTTACTTACACTCACCCTTCCTCCTCTGGTGAAGCATTTTTCTTAGATAATGTTTTCAAAGTTACTTTGAAAATAAGACTATTTCCTTTGCTTTGTGGATCTCTTACATAACAAATGTTTCTTGAGATTGATGTAGAAGAAACTCAAATAGAATTGATATTATTAAGGGATAACATAGATCTGCTTAGAAGTCATTAAATCACACAAAGTAGAATTTAGCTATGGGAGCGCTGCCAACAAAAACCCCAAAGATAAGTAGTATGCTAACTAGCCTGTTAGAGGTAAGTGGAATTTAGGGTGTGGATGACATAAATGTTTGTTCATCAGGATGCAGCAGCTCTCTGGCCCAGCCCCAAAGAATATGCGTCTAACTGGCAGTTCAAGGGGGCAGCACAGGGTCACAATGAATGTTAAATCCTGTCTGCCACTAAGCCCACAATCCTCAGTTTTCATTGAGAAAAAGCATGATTCTGCCAGGTGGGCAAGATGACCCTGGGTAGCAACTATTCAAAGAGAACACTGGTGTACTTAAATAAATCTGGCAAGATTTTTGTGGTGTAAATCATCTGGACAGACTTGTAGTCTCCGGTCTCTGTTAAATTTGTTCAAAGTGTAACCCAGGGCCAGGACCTAACAGTGTATATACAATGTATAAGCCTAAGGTATAGACAAACTGGCACTATCTTTTACTGTAGGCTGACCCTCATGTGGGCTTCAGTCCCAGGCAGCGTGAGATTAGTTCTGAGCTCTTCCTTGATTTCTCACTGGGAAGACATGCTATTTCTAGAACAGGGTGGACAGCCACACTGCCCTACTGTCATTCTGCACTTTTCAGAGATGGGAATATGAAGCTGGTGACAGGAACACAGGCTCATGGCTTTAACAAAACCCCTGAAAAGCCAGGAGCAGATTCAGACACTTCCTTTACTATCACCTCAGTTCTACTGTCTGCCTGAATCCCTCAACCTGCAGTCCGTCCCAAGTCCTCCTAAGAGGACATCATGAGTTAAACATACAGAGAACAAAGCATTCTAAAATTTAGAAAAGTAAACTTTACATAGTACAGGATGGAGGAAGGCGGCTCAGCATGAACATGTGGTTGGGAGGGTTTTCATCCTGATGACAGGCTGGTGAACTCATTTGCTTCCAGAATTTTATCTTCCATCCTCACACATAGATATGAAACTATAGTGCTGACGATATATGTTTCCAGATGTCTGGAGTGTGATTAATAAAGAGCAAGGGAAATCTACAACAAGGGAACACACATTTATTAAAAATAAAATAGCACACAGTCTCTGATAATGAACAATTAAACCCCATCAAGAGTTCAAAGACTTCCAATATATAATGTAGCAATGTACATGTGTAAAAAAATCCCATGGAGTCATTTATTTTAGAATATTCAAAGAAACAAAAAAGCCCACTTGGGCTTTTGGTGGAGACTGCCGCCAGATGCACCCTAGGCCGGATCCCTCGGTGCTCTGTATGGCACTGCAGTCTGTGCAACAGCTTCCATCTTTGTCCTTTCTGAGCAAGGTCAATTTCTGTGTGATAATCCAGACTAAAAATCAGTGCTTTTATTTCACAGGAAGTATTCATAGGCTGGAAGAGCAGGGATGACCTGGTCTCCTAAAATCTTCAATTTTAATGAAGACATGGACGAAACTACGAAATCTAGATGCTTTCACATTATTTTGCCTGAGTGTCAATTACTGTATAAAAATTAATGTAAAATCTTCAATAAATCGAAACTGGTGTCTCTAAAGATTGAAGTTCTTCATTCCTGGTGTGGCTGATGAATCTTCTGTCTCTGTAATTAGCAATGCCTTCAAACCGAAGAACTTCAAGAAAGATGAAGCACTTCTGAGAAGACAGAACTGAAGGGCCGTCCTTGGTTTCTGTCTAGGACACACACAGCTCCTGCTGGATACTGGACGGTGCTACTTTAGCATCCTCAGTCTTTTCTTGCCCGGGGGCATGGCAGGTGGTCTTCCTCTTAAATAACCGAAGGCTCAGCCGAAGCAGCTCATTGTCTACCATCGGAGCGCTTGTGTATGTCTGCTTCACAGTCCCCTATTTGGACGAAAGAAAAGCAACAAGCTGTACATTGCTGGGCAACAGTGGGAAAGAGAGGCAGGGTAGCTCCACCCCAACCCCAACATTAGCTGAGCCCTGACTCTGAAGTCCACCAATGTTAAAGCAAAGTTGGGCTCTGTTCAAGACCAAGCAAGCAAGCTTCAGAGGACAAGGTGGGGGACCCAGTAGTTCCCAACAAGTAATTACTGCGGCTAGTCCACATCTGTAATGAGAAGCAAGCACTGGCGCCCAGCAGAGGCAGCGTGTGCTGAGCTCCTGCTTCTCTTGGGGATGCAACAGTGCCCATCCTGCTGACGCACACTTGTACCAACACTGCTTTTGCCTGACAGTGCGAGAAGAATTGCTTCTTTCTCACTTTTCCTTCACAAGCTAAACACTCTTCACGCCTTAGGAGCCCTGTAACATCTGGGCTGAAGGACTGGATAAAGTAACTTTATGTGCAATTCTATGAGATTGAATATATACAGACTCATGCAAACACGGCGACGACCGGGTAGACGGGCCTTTCCTCAGTGAAACACCTGCCCATATTCTCAACCTCACCCTGGCAACCATTGCAGTCTTCCATTGTTGACCTTTCCCAGAATGTCACAGAAATATAGCCCAAGCCTACCCTATTGATGTTAGTTCCTCTCCTTTAGCATAATGCCTTTGAGATTCATGCATGCTGCTCAAGATGCCAACAGCTTGGTTATGATTTGTTGGTAGCGACTACTATTCGGGTTGTTACAGTTTATCTACTGGCTGATGAAGAACACTGGAGGTGGTTTCAGTCTGGGAACAGTGTGGTCAAGTTTTAGCTGGTTAGTTCTTTTAGGCTATTGATACAGGTAATTAACAGAATTTCACTGCAGTCTTAATTTATACTCCCTAATGGCTAGTGATGACACATCTATTTGTGTGCTTAATAGCTATCCACATTGGCATAATGTCTGTTTAAATATTTTACCATTTTTAAAAACTGAATTTTCTTATTAATTAATTTCTTATTAATTCTTAAGAATATTTGGGATACTGATGAAGTGCATTCTGTAAGTACTGTCTCCCACTGCTTGTCATTTCATTTTCTTATCGGGTTCCTAATTCATGAAGATGAATATTTTATAATAAAAAATTAATTTTAAAAATAAAAACTATTTTATACTCTCCCCTGCCTCTCTTAACTGGTCATCTTTTTGTCTGTCTGCTTGCAGAATCTGCTCACTTCCGTTTAGCTGAAATTCTATTCTTTTACCAACACTAAAGAGATCTTGGTTGGATTTTTTAATAGAATTTTATAAAATCTGCAGAGCAGTTTTTCAGAGACTCATAGTATGAGTTTGATATGTAGATCATATTGAATGACTTTAGAACACTGACCAGTCTTTCATTTCTAAGGTAACTCATCTTTGCCTGTTGTCCAGGAGTCACTTCATATATTCCTGGATTTGATTCCCAACATTTTATGACCATCTTCACAAAAAAGGATGAGCAGCAGTTTTCTTGGGGTGTCTGCATTACTAGAGCTGTGCTATAAGCTGGGAAGTGCTCCTGATTGTCTTCAGCTTTCTGGAAACACTGCAGAATCAGTGTTTGTTTTTATTGTTGTAGCTCTTTTTTTTTTTTTTTTTTTTTTTTTAATATTTAGCAGAGTTAAGAGTGGAAAGTTCAGTTTTAGAAGGATCTAAATTGAAGTAGATATAAAGCTACTTAAGCTTTCTGTTACTTCTTACACGGACTTCGTAGTTTGAGAACTCAGTCTACTCATTATTACTAAACAGAACTTTATATGGGAACTTTTATTTTCTTTTGTTTTGGTGTTCAGTGCCGGGGATTGAACCCAGAGCCTTGGGCATGTCAGTCAAACCCTCTACCATGGAGCCATACCCCAGGCTCTACTAATCTCTTACCACCTGTGGTATCTGTAGTATCATCTCAACTTTTATGCTCAGTACGGCTCATTTGTGGTTTCTTAATCAGTTTAGCTAGAAGACTATTAATTTCTTAAACGAACAAAAACAGCTTAAGGTTTAACTATTTCTCTAATGTCCTTCCATCTCCAATTTTGTTAATTTGCTATTATTTCCTTCCTTTTATTTGCTATATGTGTGCTAGTTTAATACTATGATGCTAAAATGATATTTAAACTAATATACAATAGGTGTTTGTTTCGTCCTATTTTTTTCCAAAGGGACTTTATACTTAACACACTTCAAAGTAATTCTCCTATAAAGAGACGGCGTCAACTATGTGATTAATAATTTTTCCACTTTTGTCACTGGAAAGGAATCTAGCCCTTCTCCCAGGATACAGTCTTGTTTTGTACTTCTCTTTCATAATAAGATAAAACTTAATCTCAGCATTCCTCATGAGGATGTTGAGCATTAGAAACTGTTCTTTGGTTTTGTCTCCTTCTTTTACCTTGTGCTGTTATTTGTAATCCAGGTTGGCTTCAAACTCAAGATCCTCCTACCTAAATCTGAGTAGAGTTCACAAGCCTGAACTACCAGGCCAAGCTAGTGCTGATGTCTTTGAGAAATCTAAATGCTTGCAACTCTTTCTGCATTTATAATGAGTCATTCAAGTGTCACAATGTGTCATATGGTCCATTCATTAATCATCTGTACTCTAAATGACAAGATGAAGGGTTCTAAACAATTCTCCACAAGATTTTTCAGGGGTGTCTGAGTTGCTATAGTTTTTGAGGGACACAATGGTACACTGGGGAGGAACCAACAAGTCCCATAAATATTTTTTATACAAAGCAGGCAGTATCTTGAAGATACTGGCATACTTATTAGAACCAGCTATAACATGATGCAAGTGCTAATTTACAATTGAACAATTAGGATGATGGTGGCTGTTGGTAGTGCCCAACCTCAGAGGACTCACTATAAACATGCCTAGGGAGAGGGGTGGTAATACTCTCAAGAGAAATGTTGAGTTGAGAAAGGCAGCCAGCAAAGATGGCCATCCAGGCAGAAGAATGAGGAGATATTAAGTAAAACAGGTAGAGCAAAGGAGAATGATGACTATAACTTTTTCAAAAAATAATTTTGAGCCAGGCCTTTGTGTAAGGAAGACAATAGATAGATAGACAGACAGACAGATAGACAGACAGACAGATAAAATAGGATGGATGGATGGGCAGGCAGACAGGCGGATGGGCTGAGATAGACAGGCAGGCAGACAGATAAACAGTGTGTGGGAGGAGACAGAGACAGAGGGAAGGAAACAGAGGGGCAGAAGAAACAGAAAGAGATACAGAGGAAGAGACGGAGAGAACACCCATAGAAGCCAGAAGACTGCACAAAATAGATCATTATTTACAGGATTGATATTTGCCCAGCTTTAGCGCTTGAAGCTTACAAAATAAAGTATAGTTTCTCTGTGTCAATTATTTTGGGAGTTAGGGGGGGTTAAAGAAAAATTGTTGCTTTATTAATTTCATGCTACAACACAACAATTAGAGTCCCATTTTCCCAACTTTAAAAAACCAAAGACTCCTCTAATTTCTCATCAGATCCTTTGCTTATCTAAACTACCTCTTATTTCTCATCTTTAGTATCCTCTAGTAAATGCTTATATATACTTCAATATGTTTTCTTTTCTCACATGCAAAACATTTCATATAATGTTTTGTGCATGAAGTGTAGAATGACAACTGCCGACCACAACCACCACTCATCAATACTCCTGAGGATGAAATGTGAATTCTTCCTTTACCTGTCTAGCAACTAGGAAAGCAGATTCACAAAAACAGTTAAGATAAAAAAAACATATTATTCCTACCACCCATTGCGTGGTACCTTTTCATTCTTCACAAGCTGCTTCCGGATTGCAGAGTCCCGTCGGAAACATAATGCTTTACAACATGGCCCCAGGTCACTAAGAAGACTGGCTCGCTCCTCTTTTCGCAGTAACGCAGCCATGTTGAGAGCCCCTAGTTCATGTTCGAAAAGGCCGTCTGCATCTTTCAATCAAAACAAGTATGCATTAAGTTTCCCTAAGAGGCAAGTGTCACATTGACTTAACACTTCGAGAACCTTAGTGAATGACTTGTAGCAGCAATGGCCTCCTGTGAAGGGACCTTCAACACGTAGTTATGTTTCAGTTCTTAATAGAAACAATTGTGTGATGCGATTTTAAATTTAAGATGTTTCAAAAGCAGACTTCAGAGGGCAAATGAGGCCACTGATGACTGACTTGGAAGGAAGGCTCAGGGAGAACATTTGCACCAACGTCAGTGTCTGGCCTAACACTCTCTACCACACACAGCCCTGTATTTCAGGACTGTTCTACACCAAGAGACAAACGTCACAGCAGAGACAGTGACCGCTACCAATCTCACCTAAGAGCAGTGACGTGGTAGCCAGATATCTCAGTCACATCAACGCCGGGACAATGTGTCCAGATACAATAACATGGCTTTAAATCGTACCGTAGAAGGGAAAAAGAAGAGCACTCGACACACGCATCGACTCTCTCATACACATACACACACACACACACACACACACACACACACACACACACACACAGGAGGAAAATTTTGATTAAAACATTAGGCTGGGATAAAGTAAACAAAAAATGGGGTTAGCAGGAATTATTTTCTGAAGGTTACAGATCTAACCAAAGTAAAAACAACGTGGCAAGAACACTCAGGCCACTTTTCAGGTTACAAAATATTCACAATCACAATTTATTGGTAGTATTAAAATTGAGAATTTTACTGATTATGGGAATAGGCAAAAGAAAATGGGCTCATGAAACTTTTGAAACAATTTTCCCCCCAATTTTTTGTTTAAACTTTTATGGACATAATATAAATGTGTTAAATCATGGCATTTTCGCTTTCACACCATCCCCTTGTTTATGTATCTGCTCAGCCTCAGCCTCTCACTGACAAAAGAATTAGTAAGCTACAAAACAAACAACAGAACAAAACCACTAGAACCCATACATTAAAAGATTCAGATTTGCTGGATGTGGCAGCACATGCCTTTAACTCCACACTCAGGAGGCAGAGACAGGTGGATTTCTGTGAGCTCAAGGCTACCTGGTCTACAAAGCCAGTACAGGACAGCCAGGGCTACCACAGAGAAGACCTGTCTTGAAAAAAACCAAACAAAAAGTTGAGATTTACTAAAAATTGTTACAATAAGGTGAAAAATAATTCAGGTAAGTATTTTCTGACTAAATACTAACAGTCAAACATAATGCTACTCCACACAAGCACTGTTGTCAGTATTTTACCTGGCGGAGTAATTACAACTACATCTCAGAGGAACAGAAGAAGACGAAGTGACAAGGTGTTCTCTGGGATACAGATCATGGACCGTACCCACCACGCTAAACCACTCTGTTAAAAGGCTCAACCTAGACGTTCCAGTTTGGGTAGATTCCTCTGCTTGTTTCCAGAGGTGTCAAGTCACCCACAGTTTGCTTAGGAAAACACCTACCAATTTCCTGGAACTGTTTGTTTAGCCTTGGAAAAACCTCTGTGCACCCTGACACATGAACTTACCTGTTAAAAGCAATGTTCTCTTTTCTACGGGGCTGCAATTGAGCCTAGTGCCTTCTGCTGATGCTCTGCCACAGAGCTAAACCTTCAGCCCTCAAAAATATTTTTAATATAGAAAGTTCCTTTTCTTACTTTTACAACTTTTTCTTTTTCCAGAATTAAGCCTTTCTTGAACCTAAGGAATAATATAAATAACTCTTAAAACAGTTCCTAGAGGACAAGGTCTACAAGACAACCAAATGGAACTGTTCCCAAGAGCACACTAACAGCTACAGCATGTTATACAGTTAAGGAAAAATGAAGTTACCTTTTGGTTTTTCTAGAAGCTGTTGACATGTTTCTTTAACTTTAGTGAAGAGCTCAGAACCTGCCAACCTTTTAGAAATCCCAACTCGTAGTAGAACAGCTCCAGGTGTGAACTTTAAGAGTGCAGCCCCAGGCTCTCTCGGTTCTTTTGGATGCTTTGGCATAAGCCCAGACCAGTCCACATCTATCACATCTAATGGATCTGTAAGAAAGTTAAGGAATTAAAGACAGGACTTTATTTTACACCAAGAAGCTGCAATCCGAGGCTGGGAAGATGGCTCGGCAGAGAGAGGTGCCTGCAGTCAAAGCTGTCAACCTCAGTTTGACTCTTGGAACGCACACGGTGGAAGAGCAGACTCTCAAGAATTGTCCCTTTGAGCTCCACACACGCCACATATCATATGCCTCACACCCAACAAAAAAATAAGTGAATGAATGTAAAAGACTAATGCGGTGAATATTAATGCATAGCAGATAATCTACTGAAAAGGATGTCACAAATATAAGGTCAAATGAAGTAAGTCTATTTTATATATCCAGACCAAGTAAAGTGATTCCTTATGATAAAAACAACAACAAAATGAAATAAATTAAGTAGGTGCGGGGCACATGCCTATAACCCCAGGGCTTGGGAAGATACAGTCAGGAGAATCAGAAGTTCAAGATTATCCTCAGCTATATAGCAGATTTGAAGTCAGATTGGGTTACTCCTGTCTCAAAAAATAAAATAAAATAATGAATCTATCAAATGAATGAAAAAGTTGTACAATAAGACCCTGACTGATTCAAATGGCTCCCTTAGTGTGTCAGGAGTATTGCTTCAGTGTTCACTCAAATGAGCAGAGAAATACACAGAACACAGTAAGGACACATGGAATGGACACATTTCAGAAAAAGAACTACATTAACGAGGTTCAAACAGCTTTCAACTATCTCTGTTTTCAAAAGTTGTTTAAGTTGGCTCGGGCCACCACAGTTGTGAAGGCCTGCACCACACACCTGCCATGTTGGACACTGGCCAGCTGGGGTTTGGTGAGGTTCTGGGTGAGATAAATAAGAATCTTAAACTCTGGAAAAGAAATCTTACAATTCTGCTCTTCCCTAGGACACTCTTCCACAGGCAGTGTGGATCAAGAACACAGATACATGCACTGTAACATTCTTCCTAGTGGCCTTCCTTCATTAAGACATACTGGGAAGTCTAAGTGCCCCTTACTTCTTACAGCATGGACAAGAGCACACAACACACCAACTCTTCTGAGCTCTGCAGTGTATTACCTGGCATCTTCTCCTCTTCCTGCTGGTCCTCTCTCTTTTCTGCATCCCCTGCCAGAATTTCATCTAGCTCGTCATCACTGATGGGCTCATATCCTTCCCCAGCACCAGATCCTAGTGAATGTGCATCATCTAACTTGGATTCGTCGTCTCCTGCTACACAGACAAATTAAGCTCATGTCATAAATAAATAAACAAAACACAAATAAACAGAAGGGAGTGATATCTAGTGGAACTGAAAGGCAGAGACTATTGGGAACAATAAAAGGTCATAAAAAAAAAAAAGCTGAATTCTTTTTTAAAGCCAGAAAACTACATTTCTTAGTCAAACACTTGATAATTTAACAAGAAAAATAAATTTTACTAGTTATAATCTTAATATTAAGAATACAGCAGCAATACCTAAACACAATGTAAGGTCACAATTAAAATATCAGAAGTAATCCTGAGTATGTACACTACATTGACAGTTTCATACATGCATTACCCCTGCTTCCCTCCCTCTCCTCTCTCCTTCCTGTTGGAGCGCTTCTTCCACAAGTCCTCACTGCTATGTTGTCTTGTCTTTCTGATAATAACACCTGAGCATTGAGAAAACCTAATTTCAAAAGGCTGCAGTAAAAAAAAGCAAGCTACAGTAACTTTTTAACCAAATAAACTCATTTTAAAAACTCACAAACCTATTTCAAAATGTACTTTAAGCTCAAGTCTTAGTCTATGATATTTAGCTCATAATACATACCTTATAATAGTGGGGCACAAGTGTGAAAGTGCTTTTAATTGCCCCTACCTCTCTCTGCTTCTCTTTTCCTTAATGAATAAAAATTTTGGAAGAATGCTGTAATAATATACGATCAAAGTGTTTTTTATGGCACCAGTAGCATAAATTCTATTTTGTTATTTTATCGACTTTTTCTCTCAATTGTTCCCAGGGTACACTTTTATTTCCTGCTGAGTTAGTTGTAAACCTAGTCCCCAAACTATAAATATGCTGAATTATTTCTAAACTATGTATTTTATGGATCTATAACCCTTGTTTTCAAACTGTATTAACAGGCTCATGGGCATGCATTTGCAGCTTAAAAAGTATGAAATCTTTCTAATAATTCTAATAGTTTTTCTACTTTTCAAAGGAAAGCCCTTTATGTACTCTCTATTATTCTCAGTAATATCAAAATGCTCCTGGTTTATGAGGTCAGTGCACAGCACCCTTAGTGAGCTTTCATACAAGAACACCTTCTTTGACCACGCTGAGCAGTGAGCTGTTACTAATGAGAAGCGTGACTTAGGGCTTTACCCCTTCTCAGCCAATTACACTTTTATGCTCCGTAACTTGGTTGGTCAGCAGAGCTGATTTTTGGTTTCTTCAGTTTGGAAATCTTGACTAGCTGAATCCATACATACAGCCCACAAGTGGAGCGGCTGCACTGTTTCATCTAGACCGTCAGGCCGGGTTGCCTGGAGCAGCAGCCGCCGATGGACTTGGTGCTCCCAGCTGAGTGGCCCAAGGAAGCACGAGGGGGGGGGGGGAACATGTGCATCCCTGAAAGCACAGGTCAGCATGGGGAGCAACCCGAGAGCGGCACTGCTGTGGCTCCGGAACGCCTCTTCCACAGCAGTGTCCTCCCCATCGATGGCTTGCTGATTACTCTTTACTATTAAAAAGTCCGCACTTTACCAATATCCCCACTAATTCATCTCCAAGGCAAACAATTCTAATATTATAATACTAATACATTTCTAAAAATGAATGTACATAATGGAGTTTAGGTTGTCAAGCTTATCTAACTTGCTTTTTTCTACCTTACGCTGAGTAAAATATTTACACAGTACAGCAAAAGATTCACTTCTAAATTTTTATGCCCTATTATCTGTGGTCACAATAAAGAAATAATATGTTCAGTATGAAGACAGTGACTCCATCCTGAAAGACCTATTATAATAATTAGTTCAATTATATTCAATTACACCCCAAGGTTGTACTACCATTAGAACTGTAACTTGTGACCCAATGCTACTTATAGTCCAAATCGAGATGAAAATGTAATGTGCTGAAAGCCGAGATAGATGTTGTTGTTAAGTGGGAAAAATAGGCATGCCTAGATTTTAAGACAACCAACAGATCCACCTTTCTAAGGACGGGGATTTTACTCTACAGGCCAGTGCTATTACATAGGAAAATGAAAAAAAAAAAAAAAAAAAGCAAAAACCCAAATGAAACAAAAACTAATAACCTGGGGGCTTGAAATAAAAGGTTATGTCAGAACAATGGTGTAAATTCTGACAGTGAAACTGGAGAGTCCCAGGGAGGCAGAATTTCAAAGAAAAGCCATCCCCTGTTAACCTGGAGTATATATAGTTCACCTAGGACTACTACATGAAGAATGCACACACAGGCAGAGCATCCGCAACACATTACATCCATCCTGACATAGTCCTCATGACAAAGGATAAAAGCGATGAGTCATAAAAAGGAGGCTATAGGGAAGAAAACATGGGAAAGTCGTTCTCATACAGTGCAGAGATGTTTACACAGACAGACACAGCACAGTGGAGGCTGAAAGGGCAGCTGCACTTGGCAGAGAAAACTCCAACAAGACAAGTGATACAATAAGGTTTTTGGTTTAAAAGACGATAAAAGGGAAAAGGAAGGATAAAGAAAGGTGAGAGACTAGAAATGCCTGTGTCACTTTGTCTATGGCCAGGGATAAATACTTAAACAGTAATATTTCATTATTTTTGAATTGCTGTATGACAGCATTTGGCCACCACAAAGTCCACTGATTTAAAAAGTTACTGTTTAGCATGCATGTGTGCGCACACATACGCACACCCTTTGACTGAACAAAGACAGCTCTACCTTGGCTTTCTTCCCACTATAGCTCACCTCAATTCTGAGTATGAAGAACATGAAATCATAGTCCTGGTTTTAAAGATCTAGGCTTTCTCCATAACTGAAATGAGCTGACCTGGCCTGAGCTGTAACCAACTGAACTAACTGTCATAGCTTTCTTTTGACTCAAGCCTCTATCCTTCCTCTTCAAAATGAATCTGTCTGGCACAGTAGAGTGAAAGGTGGAGGAAAAAGGCAGTAGGGACTAAGGTCCTATTGACTGGGCCAGATGGCTGATGTGGCTCCGTGTTCTTACTGGAGGACAGGGAGTGCCATCAGGCTGCTACAGTCAAACTGCCATCAAATAGTTTTGTGGGTAGTGTTATAACATGGTCATTTTCAACTGCCCTAGAAAACAGGAAACACTAACAGCTATTTCATTCCTCACTTCAAATACTGTCATGTACTGAGACAAGGTCTTGCTATGTAGGCGATCCTGAACACAACTCCCTGCCTCAGCCTTCCTGGAGTCAGGACTATAGATGTGAACCATTATGCTCAGGTGATTTTTTTTTTTAACATTTAAGTAAAAGATGTGGTTATTAAAGGCTATAGGTAATACACCTAAGTGATCTTTTATTCCAATATTTAGGCAGCAATAGACGTGACTGTTCTAGCTTTTGATGCTCTGCTCCCTACCTTTTACTTCGCTCCTTACTTCTTTATTTCATTAAGCCCTTTCACCAAGGTTGCCTTGCTACGGAAATGAATACACTTCTACTCTCGCAGGCTTTCAAGAATGGAGTTGGTTCGTCTGCTCACTGGTGGCTGACTTGGAAAATGCTGCCCTGCAGTGAGCTGGAAAAGGACTGGGGCAATACAAGAAAGAACAGTGGCACCCTCACCTTCCAGACTCTCTGTTCTTTCAGCTTTACTCACATCTTCAAATCCTTGCACAGACCCCAGGTCTCGATCCATTCTTTCTTTATCCAAGGCTACAGAATCCCTGGAACTGCTGTCGAGGTCTCTTTCATGTTCACTCTCCAATTTGGCTTCACTGCGTTTCACAGATTCCGAATGAGAAGTCTCAAAAGTTCTATCTCGTTCTCTGTCCCTTTCTATGGGGTCAGCGATCAGTCTTTCTCTGTCCAAGTCTCTTCTTTTGTCTCGTTCTCTCTCTCGTTCCCGAAGTCTATCTCGGTCTCTGGTCCGAGGCCACTCTTTATCAGCTTCCCGGTCCCATTCCCTCTGCCTTGGATCTCTCCGGTCCCTCTCCCGCTCTCTGTCATGCTCATACCTATCTCGTTCTTGAAGTCTGTCTCTACTGTCAAATGACCCAGACCTTGAATGAACCTGTCGATCTGACTCCGGGGAGCTTCTTCTTGAGCTGTGGCTTCTGGAATCCTGGCGATCTAAAGCAAGGTATACATATGTAAAGTTATCACCAGAAGCAGAAACAAAATGCTTCACTCTACAGGTCCTTACAATGTATAACGTCTCTATTTTCTATGCTCTGTTTATATATTCTGTACTTCCGGATCTGTAATCCCATACATCCAAAACCATTTTAAGGAAAAATTTACCTCTCAATTAAAGTGCTAATTAAAGTATTTTCTCAAGTGTCTTTGTCTATTTCCACTATAGAACAAAGCATCTGTAGCACACACACAGAGGAGCAGGCATTGATACAGTTGATTGTTCTAGTCTTTGATCTCTTCCCTATCTTGTTTTCTGTAGCACTGGCTGCAGAAGCGCGGAGACAGACAGTGAAATACGTAAGCCTGATCAGCAGTAAGACATACCACTAAGATCCTCATGTGAACACTCCATTGCACATGCTTCTTCACAAGGTCGGTAAGAAAGAGGCAAAAGCTGAGACTTTAATGAAATGGTTAACCTTTTGTTTTCAACTTGAATGCAATTTCAGGCAGCATGTAAAATAACCAGTTTGGCACCGCTTTAGGATTGTAATTTGGATAAAGTACACTACCACAGAAACACTTACTGGATCACAATTTGATTTTATTACCTGAAGAAGTACTTCGACTGGGTTCCCCACGCTTTAACTGATCAATCCTAGATTTCCTCTCTCCCGTGACCTCCAGGCTTTTTGTTTTCTCTCTGTCTCTGGAAGCACTATGCAGCACTCTCTTTCGACTGCCCTGGTCATCCCCACTCCGATGAGCAGAATCATTCGATGGGGAGCGCAGGCGACCAGAAGTGTGGCTACGGTGACTTCGATTGCTTCCAAGACTGCTGCTTCTCTTCTGATCCACCAGCTTGCGATGAGGTGTATCTTCTAGGGTCACATGAACGGTCTCGACTTTCTCCCCTCGAGTCCGATGGCACTTTCTATGTGAGTCTTCACTGGCATTGGTACTGGAGGTGGAAGCAGAGCTGGAAATGGCAGCAGAGGTAGTAGCAGCCACAGATGAGGAGGCAAGAGAAGTGGCTGAAGTACTTGTAGCAGCCACGGGAGGTGGGGGAGGGAGAAGAGAAGACAGAGGGGAAGGGGTACTACCAGGAGTGGCCGTGGCTGCACTGTGCTCTGGTTCCATGCCCTCTGTGCGATCAGGCACATCCTCATCGGACCAGTCACTAAAGGCTGTATCTTCTTTCTTCAGTGGGTCTTCGAGAATGCCATCCTTGTCAGTGGAAATGTCAATCAACTCCTCCTTGATGGCCAGAGGGGGCGTGCGTGGACCTCTCCTCTTTTTACTCTGAGGAGCTGCTTCTTCATCAGAAACATCAGAATCACCTTTGGATCTTTTACGCTTCTTTTCAATGTTTTTCCTCTTCTGTGCTTTTTTTGGTGAAAACACTTGCCCATCTTCAGACGTTTCAAGGTTGCCCCTCTCTATTCCAACATCGTCCTCTTTCTTTTTCTTAACAGGTTTCTTTAGAGCTTTAGCTTTTTTCTTTTCATCATGGGCTCGCTCAGACCCATCGCGGTCGCGATCTTCAGCTTGGCGGTGGCTAAGTAGGTCTTGTGCACGCACTCTTGAGCTATCCATGCTTTCCGCCTGCTCCCTCTGCCTATCGCCGGAAGAAACCTTCTCTTTGAGTTCTTGCTCTTCATAGCGCCTTGAACTCTCTTTTCTTTCTGATTTACGATCCTCCTCTTTCCATCTACATTGCCTGTCATCTGTGAGGTGTGATGGGCTGAGAGAACGAGATTCCTGTGGTCGTACAACCTGGCTCAAGAGTCTATGCTTTTCATCTATACAAGAAATAAATGTAGTCAAATCTTCATTAGGTCAGTAAACAGAACATCACATTTAAACTACAAACTCACTTTTCATTTCAAAACCTTCAAAATGGCAATAAAAATAAAGACTTAATCTGTAAGAAGCAATAGCAGGAAAGGACAGTGGCCTTGTGTACAATGGTATTCCTAAGACACTTCGCTCACATGAAGAAACATTTAGCAGCAGAGAACAACGGCATTTTGAAAAGTCTGACTCATCAGTTGCAATAAATGTAAAAGGATGGGCTCACGGCTACAATGAGCATGCACAGACAGAAAACAGACTACTCACTTTTGTCATCCCCACTGTGGTAGGTGTCACTGTCTGGAGAATGCTCCCGCCTGCGCTTGGGGGACAGCCGGGGGCTGGGACTCCCTTCGTTTCTATAGCGCTTCCTAAATTTGGATAAATACAACTTATAAGTTTCCACATGGAGAAGAACACTTCTGTGCTCTGCTTTTTACCAGGATTTCTTCACTGTAAGCAGAACGTACTATCACAGGACAGCAACACTGGTCAGAGCTGTACTCACAAAGGCCACATGGCTTTTAATAAAATTTCTTTTACTTCATTTGCTAAAATGTACAACTGTGAATTAAAAGTCCACTCCTCTCATCACACACAAAACACTCAAGGGGAGCTTGCCAGACCTAAATACTAGAAGCTGGCAACATGGAGCAGAAAATCAATCCAATAACATTCTGCATTATAACTTGTCAACTTCATATGCCTCATGCTGAGAAGAGGAATAAGAAAAAGCCAGAGTTACTTTGGGAGCTAAAAAAAGCTATGTGTCACTTAGAGCCACATTACTTTCGTGCAACCTAAGTAAGTTCCTTGAGGTCCCCAAACCTAAGTTTTCACATCTGATATTGGGAGAAAAAGTAAAAGCCCTTCTCATAAGACTAAAGTGATTTAAAGTAATACCTAAGTCCAGCGCCAAATGGGCACACTGTGGGTACACTTTAGAAAGTCCTTACTGTAGTGATTTTCATAACTAAACTTTAACTGAATAGTGGCTTAAGCACTCTGGGTGAATTATTCTAGAGTTTTCTCATATGCTCATTAAATTCTGACTTTTTTCATTAAATTCTAAAATTTTAAGAGTTAACACTGTTTCTAGAGACCAGGGTCAAAAGCTGAGAAGGAAAAACAGCTCCTTACACAGATGAGCGACCATGTGAACCGGGCAGCCCCAGGAATAGTGTGACAACTCACACTAGCCCCAGCTCATGCAATTCACTGTGCAATGCTTTTCCTGGCCAGAGGTGGCCTGTTTCCGTATTGCTGAAATTGGGGTTGGCTCAGACTCTTATACATGAGAGACAGAGTAGAAGTCACACTATGAATATGGAGGGGCTCTGGGTGTCCGAGTCTGAACTACCTCAGGCAACAAGGTTACACAGAGGAGAAGTAGGTCCCTGGACTGCTAGACATGTGATGAAGGCACTTTGGGCTATTCAGGCAGGGCAACCTTTCGTGTCAACTACAGATGCATTACCAGTGCTGAGTGACAACAGCAGAGGGCACACTGCCAAGCCCAGGTATAATAGCTGGCTCACCTACAAAATCCTGAGGAAGAACGGATTATCTGACTTTAACTGCTCACTCTTGGGGTAAACTGCTAACACAGTAAGGGATAGTTGATATACTAGGATAAAGTGAAATTTAAAACACAAGAAAACCCATTTAAATTTCTTTTAAGAAAACCCAAAATTAGAATAATAAAACAAACACTATGTTAAGTCAGCAAGACTATATAAAACAATGTTTTTTTTAAAAAGTTCTATGTATGTGCAAGGCAAAGAGATGAAAAAGTAATGAAAACATGAAGACACTAGTCTCATTTAACTATTTTTTGGTTACAGATAGCATCGTTTCTAAGTTTCTAGGTTCAACTTTTGGATTGGATATGAAAAAAAAAA